TTTATAATTATATAAGAGCTGTTTTCTCCTTTTTTTTTTTTTTTTTTTTATTATTTTATTTTTTTTTATTAAGACTTTTATTATTATACTTTTACTAAGTCTAATTCTTATATTATTATCTTAAACTATTTTTTATATTACTACTATGCCTGCTGCTATAGCTGTTATTATTATTATAATTATTTTTATTTTTACCAGCCTGCTCTTTTATAAAAAGAAATCTATTTTTTTTATTATAAAAAATTTTTTTAAATTTCTAGATTTCTTAGCTAAAGTTTTAAAGAAAATTATTATAATCCTAGAAGTTATTAAGAAGATTACTAATATTATACTAGAAATTAAGAAGATATATAATAAGATAAAAAAGATAAAAAAATAATTTAAAATTAATAAAAATTTTAAATAAATTCACATCTCTTTGAGTATGTAATTAATATATAACTAATATATAATTAATATCTTATTATTAGTATTATAGCAGGTTATTTTGGGAAGATTACTATTAGAAATATAAAATAAAAAGAGATAGAAAAAAAAATAATTTAATAATTATCTAGATAATAATACTCAGATATAATTTCTTATAAAAATATAAATTTTTATAATTATTAATTCTATAATAATCTGATATAATTTATTATCTAATATACTTTATAAATATTATAATTTATTTATTTAAATTTTAATTTAGTATTCTTTTCTTTATTCTATTTATATTTTCTGGTTTCTATCTAATATTATTATTTTTATTTTTATTTTTATTTTTATTTTTATACTTATATTTACTGTTAATATTATACTTATTTTTATTTTTATTCTTATTATTTTATTATTATTTCTGTCTACTAGTACCAGACATAATTTTAATTATCTTATTTTTATTCTGAATAACCAGCCCCGGTTCTTATAAATAAGATTTAATTATATTTATTTTATTATTAGAATAATCTGATTTATTAAATTTTTTTAAAAAAAAATATTCTTTCTTATATACTCTAACAGGATTATCTTTTATAAGTTTATTTATATTAATAATTAAACAGATATAATATATTCTAATTATAAGTACTAAATAGCAGGAAAAGTTTTTAATATTAAATTTATTTTAAAATTTATTATAATTATATAAATTATTAAAGATATACAGAATAAAATAATAATTTTATTTATTTAATAAAGCAGTGCTGGATATATTTATAAAATATTATTTATTAATATTTATAAAATAAATTAATATTATAAACTGGATTATAATATCTGATATTAATTAATATTATTTATAAAAGTCTTTTATTATTCTTTTTATTTATACTATAATTAATCTTTATCTAGACTAGAGTAGTTATTAATAAATAATATTTATTAAATCTAAGAAAAAATATTAAATATTTAATTAAATTTAAATTAACTAGCTATGGTCTAGTAAATTAAAATAAAATTAATTAATTAATAGATTTTTTATATCTGTTAAAAAAAGAAAATAAAAATTTAATTATTAAATTTTTTTAATATTAGATCTAAGAACTTATTCTTCTATATTTTATAAAAATTATAAATATAAATTATTATATTTTTATATATCTTATAAGTAATAGAGAGACCAGGAAATATCTACTTAATTAATTATATTATTTTTTTATTATCTAGAATAATAATAAATTATTATTATATATAAAAAATCATTTTCTTAAATATCTCGCTGTCTGATTTGGAAACTCTAATTTAATTAAATAAATTAATAAAAATAATTAATTTTAATTAAATTAATTTATTTTTTTATAAATTATTATAGTCAGCAAGCAACTATTCTTATAAAAATTATTAATATAATTAAAAATTATTATTTCTATTAATCTGACTGTCAGAATTAGACTTTTACTTATTAAAAAAATAAATAAATATTAAGATTTTCTAAGAATTTTATAATAATAATAGCATAGCAGCAGTATTTAGTATTATTATAATTATAATAATATATCTTAGCTGGGATAGACTAGTTAAATTTTAGTTTTAAAAAAATAAAAAACTTAATTTATTTATTTTTTTTTATAATTTTATATAAAAAAGCCCGGCTCTGAGAAAACTAGATTATATTATTTTTTATTTTAATTATTTTTAATATTTACTTAAGATATATCTCTAATTATAATATTTTTTTTAAAAGCTATTATTATTAATAATATATAAATATTTAATATTTAAGAAATATTATTTATTTTATTATATTTAATATTAGTAGTATTTTTTATATAAGTCCTGATCAAGGAAAGAAATAAATTTATTAAAAATAAAATTAATATTAAGTTAATATTAGTTAATATATTTTAAAATAATATTTTTAAAATCTATTCTAGATAATATCTGCTATTTTTATTTATTAAATATTAATAAAAATATAAAATAAATATTAATATAATAATATTATAATATAAAAGCCAGCTACTGAGTGCTTTTATATAATAAAAATAAATAAAAGAAAATAAGAAAGTATTTATAATTTAAATATTATTTTTTTATTATTAATAGTATATTAATAAATAGATATTATTAGAATACCTAGTATATAAGTATATTTATATATAAAGTATATCTTTTATTATAAATATATATTTATAATTTTTTTATACTGCTCTATACATCTTCTTAATAAGTTTTTATATTATTATTAATTTATTTTTTAATTAATTATATTATTTTTAATATCTACCAGTCTCTTATATTCTTTAATTTATTTATTTTATAATTATTTATAAACTATCTGCAGAAATTTTTTATAATATAATTATAATCTTATTTCTTATAAAAAAAACAATTGCTGTATTTCCAGTAGTCAGAATAAATATTATTATTATTATAAAAATAAAATAAATATAATTATATAAAAAAAAAATCTTTTACTAGATATAATATAATATAAAAATAAAAATAATTAATATAATTTTTAAATTAAAACCATACTCCAAGTCCTAGTTTAATTATAATATTTTTAATTCTAATATTTATATCTTTGATCTGGGATATAAAAAGATTAATATTAATAATTTTTTTTTTATATTTATTTTATTTTTAATAAGTATAAGCAGCTGTTCTTTAAAACTCTTAAAACTATTTATATCTATATTAATAAATATATTAATTTATTAATTTTATTATATTTAATTTTTATTTACTAATATATTTATCCAGATACCTCGTAAAGATTACTAATAAGAAAGATTTTTATTTTTATATTTATATATACTTCTTTTATATTATCTGTATTAATAAGATGTTATTTTATATTAGTATTAATTATTTTTAAATTAATATATATAATATCTTTAATAAGTTCTAAGATATTATTATTTATATAAATATTAGCTAGATTATTTTATTTATTTATATTTATAATATTAATTATATTATTATTATTAAGATTTTTTATTATTCCATGTACAAGTTTTCTAGTTATTAAAAAATTATTATTTTTAAAAATTAGAATTTTATTCCTGTCTTAGTAAAAATTATATTTA